AATTATGAGCCTCAGCTTCAAAATCTCGAAACAAAACATATTAATGTGAATTCTATTTGAAAGTGAAAATTTTTAGGAACATTTCATCGTTAAAATATACAATAATGGCTGATTTGAAGCAAATTGAACTCACAATCTTCTGGAAATATGTTAGATTTTCGTCCAAAAATGAACAAATTTTGTTTTTTTGGATTCGGATTGCTCCAAATTTACTTTACATTCGTTTTTTTATGGAAAAAATACATCTCCAAAGTTTTTATAATCTTTCATCTCGAAATAAATGAATTGTTTTGTCTGATAATTCTTCTAATTTAATTGGAATATTATTGAAAAGAATTATTAAGGCAGAGTATCAAAAATATTGGAATCTTGTTAAAAGTATGTTTCAAAGTTATATTTTTATTTTGGAATTTCGTTCTGGTGTTATTGTAGTGTCATTTTGTTCATTTAACTGCAAAATTAATGCGAAAAAATTTTCCTCCGAAATTAGAAGAATTCAGAAATTAGAAGTACCCGAAGTACAAACACCTTCTAATTTCCGAGGTTCCACTGTATTTAGCCAGGCTGTTTTATGTGTGTGCTAGTGTTCCTCTGAGCCACTTTGTATATGGTCACACTGGCAACGTTTTTCGTGTAATTTTATGGTCGACATGTTTTTTTTTGTCGGTGACGCGAGAAATTCCCAGAAAAATAGTGAATGTCATGCATCCATAACGGTTTTATGAGTAATATGGGTGGCATAGCATGCTCGTATTACACTGGCCGTTGTTGCTGCTATCGGGAAAATGCGATATTTATACAACATAAATATGTTGGAATTTTGCTCAGATTACATGTATTCACATGCAATTTCATAAAGAGATGAATGGGCGAAACTGAGTTCGAGATCAGAGCATATATTTACAAAATTGAAATATTGCCAAATGGATTCGGTTAAATTTGGCGGAAAATACATCGAACGGAACAGAAATGAGTGTTGTCGTCATCGTAAATATCAGCATAACTCGTTCATCTATTTTTTTGTTGCTCTCTCTCTCTCGCTCTGGACAGATAAAAAATATAATCGCAGATTTGTAGCTGCTCATATTGGAATAGAAACGAGCCGCATCCTTATCATTAGGTCAATAAATGTTTCTTTTGTGTGTAAATTTTTCTCTTTGCTTTTTCATTCGTTGCGTTCATTGGCTTGTGGCACAATCGCTTCCAATTCGCCTGATATTCGCCTGATATAGTTCCGTTATCTAATCACCGCGGCGTTAAAACTTCGCTATTAACTTGTGCGACCGAGCCCGTTCAAGTTTTCAAGCTCTCTTTCTGTTTTCACAACACATTTTTTTCTGCCATTTCCATCTTCTCTGCTTCTTTCTTTCTCTTTCAACTTGATTACCCGATTTTAATAACATTTCTGAGTCCTCTTTCTCCATGCTTCATCAATACATATGCGAAATTGGCCATTTGTAAATGCAATTCGAAAGTATGATGCGTAGACCAAGTGCAACAGCTGCGCCGATGCGCGCAATTCAATTCGTGTCGTAAAGTACAGTTTTTCAAAGTTTTCGCTTCGGCCATGAAGTGGAATTGAGTCTTTTTTTTCGCTTTGGTTTTGTTATTTATGTATGTGTGTTTGTGTATGTTATCTTCTGCTTGTATTTCCTTATGGAACGGCACCACCCATTGCAAATTAAACGCAATACATATTTCTGTCCATCAAGTATTTTATTGACTTGGTTTTACGGTTTTGGTTTTATTCATTCAAACAAAAATTAAATTACGTATTTTTTGTTTCGTTCATTCGTTCGTTCGATTACGCGTAGCCTGGATGTTTGTCGGTTGAACAGCAGAAGCCGTCGAATAGAGTGACGTGAAAGAAGAGCGCGGGCTTACGAGTGCGATTACCGCGTGGCGAATTCCATTCGATCGCATGTAATGAAATCGTCTATCGATTTGGCAATGCCGTGTGCTTGTGTGTATATATTTTCCGAAATGTAAACCGTTTGCCGAACCATAAATATGATTTGCACGCTATCAAAAAGTTGGTTTAATTTAAAATTGGAATCTCTCGGTCGCTCGCTCGCTCAATGGATTCGATTCAGGTTGCATTTGAATGTAGCACGATTTAAAGGGCACACAACTCATATTTATGGATTACGTGCGCTCTATGCCAAAATGAAAAATTCCATTTGGTGGAAGTTTTACGTCATTTGCATTTCTCTTTCGTTTATTAGTTTAGCCCATTGCAAATGTTTGGTTCAATTCAATTGAAAATTGTAATGATTTTGCTTTTGGTCGACACTTTTTACAAGAGCATCGCTGCTGCTGCTGCTGTGGCTCAAACAAAATGGCTTCCAAATTTGCAGCAGACAAGCGTTCGTTGCCGTTTTGGCCCAACGAAATTATTGGTTTTATTTCAATTTTCTTTCGCATCAAGCCAAATGACAGCTTGTAACTTAATGTGATCACGTTGTATATGTTTAATAATGGAAATGTGTTGACCAAACGCAATTTATTGCCGTTGATGTTGTTGTTAGTGGTACGATTAGTGTGCAAGCGACAGAATCAGAAAAAAATAGATCAATCATATGGCAATGGCGAATAGCCACGAGACAAAAACGAATTAACGAATTACAGAGAAAAAAGGCGAATAAGAAGTCGAAGTAAAAAACAACGAAAAGCAATGAGAATAATCATAGAAAGAAAGGAAAATAAACAAAATTGGCACAAAAACCGCATAATATTCGCGGCGTGTATGAATATACACGGCAGCGTATACGATTGTTAATTTTACTTGTGTGAAAATGCTTGTGTTTCTTTCTTTCATTCTCATGTGTTGTGCTGCAATCGACTCACGTAATAAGAGCAATTGACATCGTTTTCGCTGCTATTTCGGATAGGGCAACGGTCAGTAGTTTTCTCAATATTATTTCGTTTTGCATTTGCTCGTTTTTCGCTTCACCTTTACGATATCTACAATCAAAAACAACGGCGTGTAAATTGCATTTGACCATAACACTGATGTGTTGATGAAAAAAAAAACTCATCGGACGAGAGGTGGTCGAACCCTTGAGTCATTTAAGCCACACCAACGAATACGCTGTTCGTTTTATACATCAGTTTTCTGCAAGTGGCGTTTGATAAATTTCAGTCACCAAAATGAGCACGTAACGTGCATCATTCCTTGTGCATAAAATCATTTTCCATCAAAAATATTATAAGCACCGAAAAGACGTGGCTCCGAACAAAAAAATATGACATGGGGAAAACAAATGCTTCCAGAAAAATGGCCAAAGAAGAAAAAATCAAAGAAAGACAAATGAACTTGGTGGTTAAAAATGTCCGAAGTAAAATGCGTGAAATGCCAAAGAGTGCAGAAAAATGAATCGTAGCACCCGAAACAGAGGGAGAAAGCAAGAAAAAGCGGACGGATGACAGCAAAAATCCATGTGAAGAGGGAACAATTTGCTGCCAAATGCCATTTGTCAACATTTTCAAAATGTGTCTTGTATCGATTTGCTTCTTTCTTTTTCGTGAAAACTTATGAACTTGACAAATTCAAGCACTGGCTCAGCATCCGCATTTAGCAACAACAACAGAAAATATGATGACAACGACAGCACACACATAATATTCACCATTTGCTGGTGAATTGCAATTGCATATAGCGAAAGAGAAAAACGGCAACAACCGGCAGTATAATAAATTGAAAGTTTGTTTCCCGCATCGTCTAGCTGAATTTTATTTCAAAGGTCTCTTTCATTAGGAGTATCAAACAAATGACGCCATATATAACATGTTTTTTTGTCTTGCAAACGATTCTCAACCATTAGTCAAATTCAACTTGAATTCGGTTGAACAACTTGAGCAAACAAGAACAGGTGCACACTGCACAGTTCTGTTTTTTTCCTTTTGAATAAAGAGAAATTTTAACGAATTTCTCGAGCATTTCCTCTCTGCGTTTCCATTCGAATGGAAAATTTACTCAAATGGACACCAAATAAAATTTCATTCCGTTTCGTTTGCCGCAAAAATTCAAATTAACTTTATAAAAGTTTTCAAACATATTCCATTAATTGTTACTCTTTTGACGTGAGTTTTGAATGTTCTTGCGCTCTTCCACTCACTCTCACGCGTGCAATCAACGCCGAAAATGAAAAAGTTTTTGGGTTGAATTGAACCGACAAAAAACGAGAAGAAACTTGAATGACATCAAAAGATATTAAATTTCCAACGGGTTATGCTGGTCCATTTCCACATCGAATCGTTCATTCGCCTATGAAGAAATTGTTCTTTCCATTGCATTTCATAACTTGAGTAACATAATCCAACAGGAAAAACAAGGTCCAAATGTATTTTTTTGTGTTTTGGTTGGGCATTTTCCTCTTGTGTACAAACGGAAACTCAAATTTCGAGGTTTCACTTGGAAGTAGAATATTAAATTTTTAGCTACAAACTTCAAATCAACTGGGTAAATAGAAATTAGATGCGAAAACCTTGGATTTACATTGTATTTAACTCAGTTTGTGCTATTATCAAATTGAAACTTATGTACAGACAACCAAATTGAAAGTTACAGCCAGTAATTTACACCGACTCGGTGTGTGTTTGTTTGTTTCTTTCTTCTTATTGTGTTATTTTGTGCAATTATCTTTTGTATAGGTACCGTTTAAACTAGTTTTGCGATTAAAAGAGAACAAAAAACCAACAACATAATGTTCAAAATATCTCATTAAATTCGAACTAGTTTTCGGTGTCAAATACGCGGTCACGTTTTGTATGTTGTCACGAATGTGTTTATTGGGTATTATGGATTGAAAAATTTCGTCGAAAAAAAAACCAGCACAAAGAGGAAGGTTCATGGGCGATTCTGGCACTTAGCCGACATTAGCACATTTTTTTGATTTCGTTGAAGAACTGAATTGATGTCGAACGAATTTGTTTAGGTCTTGGGTTGGGACGATTGTTGGAAGTTGAAAAAAATGAATATAGTCTCAAAATGAGCTTACCTATGGATTGGTGATGCTCCAGATGGTATTCTCTGTTGATACGAAATGGATGCTGGTGGTTGAGATGACGCAGTGTCAGCCCGCTGGCCAACCTGAACTGAACGTATAGCCGCTTCCATCTCATTCCGACGTGGCCACCATTATAAACCACTCATTTTCAATAAAATCAAAGCACAGCGAAATGAAAATTAAACGAAAAACGAAGCGCGTCCCAATCGATCGGTGATACGATTTACGTCCCGTTCAGCGAATGAATTTATTTGGATTTTTTTTATATTTTTTCTTTATTCTTTTTCCTTTTCTGGTTTTTTCTCGATTCAATTTCGGATTGAATCGTTGTGATTCCGTATTTTGGTCGCAGCACTTGAGCAAAAAAAAAATCTCACTAATTTCTCTTTTTTCTCAGAATATTTTTTTCTTTTCAATTTTGCTTCTTTTTATTCAGCACAATCACCAAAAAAGTATCACCAATTACGATTCCATCAAAAATACAATTGGTTACTTCACTTTTTATTTCCTTCAGCACAGATTCAATAATTTGTTTGCTCTTCTCAAGTTAAATTTACTTTGATTTTTGACGTCGATTACAATAAAAACTTCACTTTCACACTGAAATTAGAGGTCAATAAAGAGAGAAAAAATTACGATTTAAATATGTTTCGTTGAAAATTTACGCAATGGTAAATCATGTGCTTTAAATTCTAACAAAAAAAACCTCATACTCTGTCAGAGTTGAGAAAGGGGGAGAAAGAGAGCCACCCATGCAGTGGGCAAAATGCTTGGAACTATCAAGAAAATCGATTTCCAAACTTGTATCAACATTAAATTTGATTTAAATTGTTTCAACTTCAGAAATTTCAACATATGAATGAGTTTACGAGGAAAGAATCGACCGTTTTCTTGTTACTTCGAAACACTTTACATGTATAGAGAATTTTCTTTACATTGTGGAACAAAACACACAATTAACTTGATTGATTTTTTATTTATAGATTTTTCAGTTCGGTTTCGGTTGTTTTCTTTTGTTTAAATTAAAAAATGCGAGAAATTTATATACCACGCAAACACACAGCCACCAATTAATGAAATTTTACTCAAATTTAGTTATATGCTTTAACATTAAATCCGTACATTGGATGATGACGACGTTGACAACGAAACACAAATAAAGATTTTAATTCTGCAAATAAACGAAAAAAATTGAAGTTTTCCATTAGTAATGCGTCTTATAATGGGTTCAACGCTCGATTTTCAAAATTTTTTTTTTTTTCATTGTATATGAGACAGAAATGACTTGAACAAAATTGAGAATATTGTGTTTTTGCCCAAACGAATTCAAATTTTTTATTTTATTTTTAAAAAATGTCACGATGATGAAAAAGTTCCGAATCAAACAGTTTAAACCATAGAAACTACGTGGTTTGAGAGTTGCTGTGGAAACAAACCCAAAGATAATTCAAAAATATTCGACGTTCAAAGAAATGAATTTAAAAACTTTGAAATTCTTGAGACTTCCATAAGAGCTCGAATCAATCTCAAGCAAACGGAAATTATTTTCAAGATGGAAAAACTTTTGGTAACTTCCAAGAAAAATCTTGCAAACGCGAATGGAAGTTAATTGAGAAGCTCATGTAATTTCTAGGCGATGCAGCTAGAAAATACCTACGTCAAGAGAAATTACGTGGAAAACAAATCCAAAATGAGTTGAATTCGATTTCCGTCGTTTATTTCAACATAATGTCGATGTTGTGGAATACATGTAGCAAGCAGTTCAAAGAAAATTGAATAAAAACGGTGTTTTCTTTGAATAATTCGTGCGAGGCTTATAAACCATAAATGTGCTTTTCAAAGTGAAAAACAAACAACTCGAAAATGTCACACGGCTCGTATGCTAGTCATCATCGGGAAGTGCAATTATGGTATAAATTATTCACATTTGGTAAGTGCGCCAGTTGCAAAATTCAAGAGACACACAATGAAAAATTGAACAATGAACATCCATCGCTCGAATACAATAATAATATCGAGCATATTGAGCGCATAAAATACAATGAACGAAAAAATGAAAAAAAAATCCAGAAGAATTATTATGGTAGCTATTTAAAAAAAAATGGTGTATATGCTTCGTAGATCGAAGAACCCCATTCAGTGAGCTTCTTCAGAAAAAAAATAGAACGCAAAAAAACACACACAACATATGAATAGTCGTGCTGGTGTTTTGGTGATTTCATCAGCTCATTCGACAAAATGTAGACAAAGCATATGTCTTCATGATTTTGTATGGTAGAACGTTTGCTGGTGAAATACGACTGAAAATTATGGTCGAATTCTTCTCGTTTTTTATTGAAACGCGAAAAATTATGTGTGACTCGTTTCAGATAATGATTACCACATTTCTTTTGCTATCGCATATGAAATCACACCATGTGTTTGATTTTCAGCGTAATTTGGGCAAATTTCGAATTTTTCACTTTCTTTGCACAAAATATTCGTTGAAATTCGATTGAAATAAACTCAAAATGTTCACTGTGTAGGATGGCATACGCTCGTCGAAAAATCGATTCAATTGTGGGATCGTGGTTCCCATATCCAAGCCAAGCTTATAAGAAATTCGATTCATCTCAGAATTCTTCATATCAATTTTTCTTTTTCTTCGTCACAAACGGAAAATATTTTTATTCATTTTCAAAACTGTATCTCATCGTTTAAATTCATTGGAATTCTTCATTTGTTTCTCTTCCGCTGTAATAATTTGAAATTGCCATTCCTTTCAGATAAAAAATGAAATAGGTTTGCTTGTGATGAAACACTCATAAAAACTGCTACGCACAAAAAACAATCGCATAGTTGCTCAAGGGTGTTCCAGATTGTTCAAAACCATGGTCGATATGGGCAAAACTATCAGAGTGATCAACATTTAATCAACGATTTCTCATTCAAAAACAATCTTCTCGGTATAATTCAAATGATTTAGGCCATTTAGGCATTCACACAATCATTGATGTCTTGATTCTGGTTGGGTTTGTCCTTTCGATTCATCTTGACCGAAGAAAAACTCAAGCAACTATGCAACCGGAATTGGATTTACTCATTCGTTTCTTTTTCTTTAAAAGGCTCTCTCATTTGACACAATTGCAATCGCCAATGTGCAAAAAAACCACAATAATCTCACTAAAACTAAAATAAATATTTTGTTTTATCAAAACAGAACCAAATGAAACTAACAGCAAATTTTCTGTTGATTTTCTGTACGTCGAGTGCTGTTTTTTCTGATTTCAACTGTTCTCTCCGAAACACTGAACCACTTTAAAAAAAATTATTTCTTATTTTTTTCTTTCTTTCAGTTTTGTTTGTTTGTTTGGTTTTTTCTTCTTTTCTTTTTTTTTGATAAATAAAATTGTTTTTTTCTGTCTGTTCTAAAGCACACACAAGAATGAAAAACTAAATAGGCGCCCGAGTCGATGAACTATAGAAGGTGAAAATATAACGTGGAAAACACAATTTCTTGTTGAGAAATATCGTGCCGTTCGTGTTGCCTATGCAAGAACTACGATGCTGAACGCTGTTCGCGCGACGTCAGCCATTTTCTTTTTCGGATGAGTTAAATAACGAACAAGTTCAGTATATTGGCGCTAGTAGGAAAACTCGGAATGTACGCGATGCGATCTCTGTGTGTGTGCGGCTGTGTATGCGTGTGTTGGTAGCATTATAAATTGATGATGTTCGTGTATGGTTGTGTATTTGCTACATTCGTTCCGTTTCCAACGCTATGTGCTTGTGCATGTGTATTTGTGCACGCTCGTATGCTTGAGAGTGAAACGTTTGCCTATGTCGAACATATCACATCTCCATGTGTGCTGTCCTTGTCTGCCGCATGCCCCACTGAATCGGCTCAATGTTGCCGTGCATTCGCAGACATTCATATGCTGCTGTGAATGAACAAAGACCGCCGATCACAAAGAAAATACAAGGTGCGTTCGCATGACGTGCGATAGAAAGAGAATGGTGATTGTGTGGCTGGGTTTACACGGCCACTGTTTGTGTTTCTTGAATTGGCTCCGTGGACCGTTCATTTTGGGAAAAAGATGTTCGCCTTCGCAAAATTGATTGAAGTTTCAATGAATCCACGCAATTTTGGTTCTGTATTTTTTTAAATACTCAAATTCCAAGCCAGAAACTAGCCTGCACAACATACAGTGTAACGCATACACGTTCACATTTTTGACGGTGGCATTGTGAACGCAGCATGAATTTTAACCAAAATGGCTGCCGCCACATTTGTTCACATGCTTTCTTGCTCGTTTCCATGTGGATGGCTATGCGGTGGTATGAGATGCAGTCTTCACACACTTTTATTTGCATGCCTCGAGTGAATCGAACAACACATAGATAGCAAGCGGTATACAAACCACGATGATGACTCGGCTGAAAGAAAAAAGTTCAAATGACGACGACGTGCAGCAGAGAGAGACAGAGAAAGAGAGAAAGAACGAGAAACGACAGCAACAAATAAAAAAGGAAAACAACAACAACAGCAGCAGCAGCACTCTTCATATAATTTATTTATATGCATTTATTTCTTTTGGGTTATTTGTGCGTTCTTCGTGCAATTCACTGTGCTTTGCACACGATGAAAATAGTGTACTTTTTGCGCGCTGTTCCAACCAAACGCAAAACTTGAATATCCAGTTTGTGTGTCTTGTGTTGGTGTGCAATGGTATTCGTTCGCCCATTCCAAAATCGCTGGCAAAATAATAAGCAACGACGAGAGCAGCGAGACGAAGAAGCAGCAGCAGCAGAGAAAAAATGAGTTAAAGAAACTGTACGTTTGGTTGTTGTTGTCGACTTTCTACATACAATGTGTCCAATGCCTTAATTTTCTATCATAAGCCATAGTAAACACGATTTGTTGTGCGCTGCTCTGCACACACCGCATAATATAATATGGCTCAAAACCGGTGTCTTTATATGTGTCTCTCTGGTCTCTCTGTCTATGTGTGTGTATGTGTGTGTGTATGAGCGTTAACGCACGCATTAACCGTTCATTAAAATCCTATTCACTAAAAGAAACAACTTTGAATGATAATAGTAATAAACACAAACGGAGCTATTATGCAGTAAATGGTCATGACTCAAAATGTAAATCGTCGTCATCGTTGCCGTCGTCGCCATCGTTATGTACAACACGTTTAGAGAGACACAAATATTGATTTGTGTATGGAATGGGTTCCGCATCGTTATATTGTTGCTGTTGTTGTTGCTCTAATTGTTTTACAATTGGCGCAAATAGCAATCGTATTGTCCGTATACGGTGCGCTGATTCTCACTGCCGCCGTGACATACACCACAAATACTCGGTGGGAGAAGCAAAATCATTTTGATAATTACGTATGCCAGCTGAAGTGACAGTTCTGAGGAACTTTGCTGATTAATATTAAATGTTTAAACAATATTTTCAAGCACAAAAACGTACGACTGTCGTGCATATTGTATGTGGTTTGTTGATTTGCAGCTAAATTTAGCCGCCTTTGCTGGGCTTATGAATATGTACGTGTATAAAGTGATTGTAGAAAAAGAAGCATGCGGTTGTTTGAAGCGCAATTTGAAGTGCAAACCACCACGATTGGGTTATCTAATCGAAAAAATGGAAAGAATTCCACGGAATTCAGGCCAAATCATTTTGATAAGGCGTTGGCAATTTACAAGCGTCTTCCCTTCATATCTCTCCGCTCCGCTCTCTGAGACAGTCAGTCAATGCGCTCAAAAGTCAATGCGAAAGATACGACGAATGCGTTTTTTTTCTTTGCTCCACTGAAATTATTCAGCGAATCCTCTCCAATTAAACAACATCGAAAGGAACTTTCATCGGAAAAATAAACAACTTCGATACTTGTTAATTGTACTCTGCGATATGATTAAGGAAAAAGAACCGCAGTTCGACGTGCTGATGTGAGATTCCATTCATGCCGACAAGTGTTTGATAGTCAGTTTCAAGGAATTTCGACATATCGTATGAAATATAAACTGAGCCGAGAGAGAGAGAGAAACGAAAATTCATAAACGAAAAGAATTATCACTCATGACGTTGCTTAAAGACCTTAAGAATATCTCTCTATCTCGGTCTGTGTATACAACATCTACTTGTACATACACCGCATGAGCATCTATTTTCTCAAGTCCCATGACTTGCCCCAATGTGCTGTCAAGTTAAATTGAAATTCAACAATAAAGAAACCAAAACCTCTTGTCGTGAATGTAATTATACGTAGGTACGTAATGGACATGGCTTAGAAATCACTACGAACTGTTCGAGTGTTCAGTTCAATTGGCATATTTAATAATGTGCGGTTGACTTGGCACTTTTTTTCTTCTTCTTCCATTTCATTCTCGCGCTATCTTGCTCTGAACCAACGTGGTTTGTTCATTTTGGTGTTCTCACCGAATTGAGTGAGTGAGTGAGCAAAACCAGAGTTGCGTGAGTGTGGTTTTTCGATGATGAATGTTTGTATGGGTTTTAGTTTTCCGTCATACATGTTAGCGTTAGTGCGCCGAGGCGTACTTTTTATTTTGTTCAAATGACAACGACGTGTAATTAATATTATAAATTCTATTTTTATGCCCATGCCTACAGATTATTTTTGAGTTCCTTTTGAGCCACATGGCTCAAGTCAAATGCAGTGCATTCTTTGGATTAAAAGCCGTCGAATGAAGACGACGATGACAAAAGGTATCATGTACGAAAGCAGATAACTGGAAATAGATTAGTGGTTTCTCTATCTCTCTATCTCTCTATTTCTCTCGGTTTCTCTCGCTCAGTCGATGTGTCGCAATACAACCGACTGCTCTGGCTGAATGTTGATTCTGACAACCTGAACAAATTTACTTAATTGAATAACTTCTTTGTGTCGTTGTTGTTGCTATTTTTTCGGAACTTGTTTGGATTTGTAGAAATTTTGCCTTGTCGAATACCCAATGGCAACCAAGCAATCAATTGTATTGCTTCGTCTCCGCAATAATAATAATTAAACCAAAGAATTCTCTCTGTCTCTCGTTTGCTGTCATCTATATTCGGATGCAAAATGCTTTGCTGTAGTTTATTTTATGGTTTTGAAAAATCCACTTGGCATCGAGCCGAGGCTTGTGCAGTGAAAGAAAATATCTTATTTCATTTGTCTAGCTGTCTTCGTTTTCATTTTAATTGTTCGGCAGTTGGATAGAGTTATTACAGCGAGAAGACCGCATAAATCAGACGAATATCCATGAGAAGTCAATGTCTGTGGATTGAACGAATGGCAGCCACTGAAGGAGCTCTGTTCAGTTTCATCACATTTTTTCTGCACAAATTGAGCATATTTAAAATACGAAACAATGGTTTCTGTGCCTCTTCTTAAGTCGAACCCATAAATCTTGTGTCATTTGCGTTTTTTTTTTGCATTATAATCGTCTCTTGAGAGAACTATCCTTATTCGGATTTTCATTACGAAGTTTTTTTTCTTAATAAGCTTATACTCTGACAAATGTGACTTTCTTTTCGGTGCAGATGATGAGTGTATCAAGCTCGAATTTTGCTATGCAATAACCATATTTCCAATGTATCACATTTCGCGGAAGATGTGCCTCGTGTTCGAATATATATTCAGTCGCTTTGTTGAGAGATAATCATTTCCCGTTCTGTGCAAAAAGTAATGCGATTGACATGAACCGCATATCATGTCGAAAGGAATATACATATATACACTGTATTTTTGTTCTTCATCTTCATCTCCTGAAGCTCAAGAAAGGAATTCACGTTTTGATGGCATTTAAATCAACTGCTGAGGCATTGTTGCCGTCGCATACGACGACTCATATCACGAAAAAGCGATGAGCACCATGGAAAAAAATGAGAAAGAAATATGTGTAGTAAATTCAAAATTAAAATTAAAAATCAAAGAAGAAGCAGACACGAGAAAACTTGAAATTGAAACGAGAAACGCGCGCAAAAAGGACGGAAGAAGCGCTGAACACGCATTCAATGTAATGCCACAGAGATAACATGGTACGAGTCGAACGTAAATGAACATGACTCTATGTTTGAATATTATATTTATATATAGGCGCGCTGTTGCCACATTTACGTTTCGCCGAAAAACACATTTTTTTCTTTTCTGCTCACATTCGAAACGCTGTGGCTGCCTCATTCGGCGAGTGTTGTTGCCTCCGTCGTCGTCGTCGTCATCGTCGCTGCCGATGCTGCTGCCTCGCACTGCTTGTACAATAATATTTCTGTTGTTTCGAATACATATATACTCATTTCATAAGTATATTTAGATGGTTTCATCGATGGCTGTTGTTGTTATAGCTGTTTGTAAAACGTCGCATTGCTCTCTCGCTCACTCGCTCGCGTGCTCTTTATTGTGTACCTCTTTTTATTCTATCTCTTTCAATAATTTTTTTTTCGTTTTGTTTTTGTGTGTGCCTTTTTTCGGGGATTTTTTTCTTCTTATTTTGAGTCGACCGACTCAATTTAATATATTACTACGCATACACACGTCTCTACGAGATGATACATACACAATACACTCACACACATATCATACAATCATCTAAATGAATCCACCGTACAGCCTGTACGA